CACTCGATTCGCAAACTATGACATCAGCCTACGAAAGACGCAAGGAGCAGAGCATTTGATATTTGACCTGGCGGGGGAATGTGACCACCTAATCTCTCTTTAATCCATCTTATGTGGATCTTAGGTTACTGAAGCGTTGAACTGTGATCCACAAGAGTTTCTTTCTTACATGAACTATCATAGATGTAACGCGCCAAAACCTCTCGTCATTAAATTTGAGGACTGGCGTACTGTAATGTAGCTATTTCACTCATTTTCAAAGCTCTATGACATTTCCATCCTCCTCTATTAAATTCTGCCCAAAAAGCAAGAGGAAAGTAGAGATACGGAAAAAAGTGGGTTTGACAGCCGCACTTGAGCATAATTTCGGCTCACCTTGTATGCATAGAAGCAATACTATATACCTCCACTTATGTGGAACCTTCCCGTGTGCGCGGTCGCCACTGGACCAGGGCCAGAAAAGAAGACATGTATCCAATTTACACTATCCACTCACCTTCGCTCCCGTATCTTTGAATGGGATTGATACAGCGTAAAGAAACCCCTGTTCCCATTGTGGGCCCACTACTCCGAGCTCTTTCGTTTCGTCGCATTGTTTCGGCATGATGAGTATTGGCGTTATCTTGAATTCGCGATTGAACAAGCTGAAAAATTTTGAAACAGTTACTGTTAAAGCGTATCTCCGTCGAGCATTGCTCCAATTGTGACCTTTTAGTATGTAGTTAACTCCCTTCTCCCCAACGAAAAGGAAGGATTCAACCCACTTGAAATATTGCGTCAGCGTTGTGACTTTGGAATGTATGAAGACCTTCTCCTGTGGGACATCGCCGGCCACTTTCGAAAAAGAACACTCCTAAAGCAAAATCGGTCGGATTGATGAACAACACAGAATGGAAAACGGTAGGGATGGGCTCTCCCTAACTGTGAAGTTGAATATATCGTTAAGTGAAATCAAGCAAGGGTCCGCTCAATGTAGGCGGAGTCTGTTCTTTTAATAGGAACGCAGATTTCAAAAAACTCGTGACTCGGTTCATAGCCCCTGAGAAGGCCTTGGGGGGGG